CTTTGCATGAAAGAAACTAGAGTGTGTGCACCGGAACCCGGAAGAGAACAGGTGGCCGATGCGCATGTGTGCCAAACCAGCTGTGCAGCATGCATGTGCATGCCGGAACCCAGAAGTGGTGCTGGCCGTGGTGCACATGCGCACTGGCCAGCTGCTCTTTTCCGGGTTCTGGCTCACACACTCCAGTTTTGACACTCAATGTAGAAAAGGTTAACCATTACTCACATAGGCTCTCCTCTAATAGGCTCTCAAAAGATTTTGCCTGATCTTCAGAATTATTGAAATAAAACAACTTACACTGATGATTTTTCTGAAAGAATAGTTAAAAAAGATATAGAAGGATATAGATATAGAAGATATAGAAAGATATAGAGGGTTTTTTTCTGTGTTAAGGGGAACAAAATAATGAAGATTTCAGATAAAGTTGTCTTAGGTCAGAAAATTTACAGAATTGCATTGCTCTCTTTTTTTTTAATGCATTCAAGCCAGTGTTGGCTCCTAGAAACTGCTTTTTTTTTGCCAAGATAGTTGGAAAGTGATTTGCCATTGCCTCTTATCTAGGGCTGAGAGGGAGTGACTGGCCAAGCCTTACCCAACTGCATTTTCTGAACTTAACTAGAAAAGATTAATACTTGTGAGAACTTATAACAGAAACAATATTTGGGCAAGAATGAATATTTAAGGCTATTTATGTATTTTATGTACAATGCATATATATGTTGTTGTACCCAGTGTCAAACATTCATCATTTTTTGTGAGATGGGTTGCTATACAGAATGGTAAATATTTTTCAGAATCTCTATTCCTAAGATTCTCAGGATGAGTTCTGTTTTATTGCACAGTTAGGTCTATATAGTGTTTAACTACATAGATCATTCTATTTCATGCAGATATATGGTGAGAAATTAACCCATGATAAATCTGTTTTATTGGTTTTTATTTTTTTCCAAAATATATATATCTACCGGTAAATATAAATGCTCAAAATACATTTTAAACATAATTTGATACAATCTTTCAGCGGAAAATTTGTTGGCACTTAATATAAATATGAAAGGTAGTGGGTAATTCAATTCAGATCCATATGAAATTTTTGGATGCAAGTAATGAAGAAAGACACAGAAGGTCAGGGCTATTCTGCCCCTTCATTTCCAGTACCTTTAAAGATTATTAAAGCCATCCCTTTAAAAATGATCTTGGTTAGGAAGACTTGTGGTATGAGGAAAATTAAGAGTTTGAGTGAAAGAACAGTAATTGGTGGGCTGGAGTAGTAGTAATGTTGGATGATTATGTGAGGTCAGGATAGAGTTTAGATAAATTAATACACTTTTAGATTTATTTAAGTGAGAGACATTTAACATCTTGATTGATGTCAGTATTCTTTCTTCTAAATGCTTAAGTCTGGCTGGATCATGCTGCTTGCTTTATTCTTTTCAATGTTCTCAACAAAATTCTGTACTTCAGAAATAATTTTTTCTGATGAAACACTAATTTCTGGGCAACAGAATACACTATTTGTGATTTCTCCCCGTGCTTATACTTCTCAATCATATTCAGACAAATTGGACTGTGGTTATTATGTATTTTTTTCTGGTTTCGTTTAGTTGAATGCTTGACAAGCAATTTTTCCCCGCTAGTATAAAAACAGTTTTCATTTCCTCCCTATCCCAAAGGCTTTCCTCATACATCTGTGAATTTGAGTTTTGTGGAGCATTTCATAAAAAATGAAGGTATGTGCTTACACACATTGATTTATTCACGTTACCCTGAACATAAGTGAGGATTCTTGTAACATCAGGAAAGGTTAAGGCAGCAGCTGAACACAGTATATTTTATTGACAACTCTGATGAAATCGAGCCACCTCTAGATTGAATTTAGAACACAGTAAAGCAATTGGTTGGTAAATAAGTCATGAGTTCTATCTCTGAATGTAGCTGTATGATTTGCACAATTGCTATTAATAAGCATAATAATGGAAGCCAAACAAAATTTCAAAGGTGTGCTTTAATATACAGTGTACTAAAAGTACGTCAGTAGTTGCAGCAATGTATGAAGTAATGGATATTTGTAAAAATAAGGTATAAACTGAACAGAAATTTTAAAGGCTCGGGATAATATTGAATGACAAATGTAGAGGAATTAAGGAAAAGAGACTAGGCAACCTCTGGTTTCATACTGCATACATGCGTACCTTTCATGCTTCTTTTTGAGACAAGCAGACTTCATATGAAGTGTAAAAAAGGAAACATTCTCAGCTGTTTGCTTTTAAAAATATCATCAACTCCACCCATTCACTCATTTCTCAATCTTTTCTCTTGACTCATTCTTCTTATGTTATATAATATAGGCTAGGCTAGGCTAGGCTAGGCTAGGCCAGGCCAGGCCAGGCCGGGCCGGGCCGGGCCGGGCCGGGCCGGGCCGGGCCGGGCCGGGCCAGGCCGGGATGGGATGGGCCGGGCCAGGCCGGGATGGGATGGGCCG